TTGTCTGGCCCTTGTACACGTGAGCTGGCCTTCGGGCCATGCTCAGGCCAATTTGTCCTGTCATCTTCAGAATACATGTAGCCNNNTGCACTTACTGATTTCTTATACTGGCACTGAGCATGATCAAAAGTACCTTTGTGTAAACAGATAATGATGAGTCGAAGGTATGGCTTTCCCAAAAGCCAGCCTATGTTGCATATCAAGATGGTCAGCACGAGTTTTTCTTCCTGCAGATGTTAATGAAAAAAGGCTTTGCATTAGCTTTGAATAGGGAGCTTTAAACAAGGTCCTTTTAGAATTTCTGAAGACTGCAATCAGTGATTTGTATTATCCTGGATGAAAAATGTACCCCCAATTACTTCTCTTGAACTGGAAGATATTCATTATATTCTTTATTTTCTTGATATAAAATGCATCAGGTCTTGACGCCATAGTAGCTGCAACTTTTGATCAACCTTGTGCTTGTTTGTATCATTGGTGAAGCAAAAAAATTTATTAAGCTGCGTCGCTATGTCTGACACCGTAGGGACTCCCCGGATGTTCAAACCTTGTGAATGGCTATGTTCAAATAGAACTCACTATGGTAAGGCTGATGCCGTCCGAGAGTCAGCCCGCAATGTGGCTCTTGAAAACAATGTGCTGATGAAGGAAATAAAGGAACGTACCCTTAAAACCATGCAAGATGTTGATGAGAAACTAGGTAATAAGTGCGACGTTGTACATTTTGCTATGCAGATCAGAGGATAATTGACACATCATTTTGGATGAGTGAACTAACAAAGAAACTTAAGGACAATGCAAGTGAAACGGACAAACTGAATTCTTGCATTGTTCGATTAAAGAAAGCGCTAGAAGCCACGACGGAGCCTCTGTATCTCTCTGAAAAGTGCATTACCATAAGGTACTGACCAAAAATTTGTTACTTTGTAGACAAGATAGGAAGGGATTCGACCTCGTAGCTGACAATGCACACAATGAACTAGTGAAAGAGATTACTGTGCTAAATGGGATACGCGCATTGCTGACTCGTGGGATTGAACAAGCAGAAGAACAGCTAAGGTACACCATTGATGAAATAGAGGAAGCGATAGACTCAACCGGAGATCTGCATTTAATTTGAAGTTAGATTTCTGCGGAAAGGAAGCAGCTAAGAATCAAGATGAGTATGCAAAAACAGTTTCATCCTTTGACTATATCCCGGAGGTCAATAAGTGCCATCCGAATTCGCTTTCGTAAGGCGCCCACAATGCATTTGAACACTTCAGTTCATGTAGTACAGATGAATGGCTTCTTTACTTAAAGAAAAATATTGAGGAGGCAGACCGGCAAATACGGAATTCACGTCAGACACGTAGCCTCGTTGAGAGTGTTTTGGAACAAGTATTTGAGGATCAAAAAGACCAAGTCGAGGCGACGAACCAGGCCATCCGAACTCGAATTGACGAAACTCGTGACGCCAAACGCAAGTTGGAAGAACATCTTTCCTTGGTTAGTTTTGAAAGGTAATGCTTTAAGTTAGGTGTAGATATTCAAAGAGACATCGGACATGGAGGAAAACATTCGCAATATTGAAAAGCTGATCTGTGACACTCTGAAATCTGCACAAATAACAGAGACAAAAAAGAACATAAGAGACTGCAGACCGTCGAATGAGCTTTGCAGAGATCCACCCCACTACAGGTACGTCATAGTCAACTAGCAATTAGTAAAGTGCGTACAACTATTAACCATCCGCTTTTCTTAGAATTATCGAACAAACTAAAGAACTAAAGGCAGACATCTCGACTCTCCAACAAATGCTTCATGATGCAGAAGAAGAGCTAAAGGCACTTCGAAGAAGGCAACTCGACCTTGAGGAAGAAATACAGAACAAGTCACACTCACTGCACATTGAAGAGGTTCAAGTTTTGGAAATAAGATCAAGCATATTGGTCAAAAAGTTCTAAGAATGACAAAAATGCATCAACTTCAGTTCCATCGTTCGCAGTTTTCCCTGTGTAGTACAGTAAGATAAGTCAACAACACGCATTCTAAATTGCATACAGATACAATTAATATTGCGAGATTA